CTAATAAACCATAGAGTTGGCGTGGGGTCACTGGAGGATGGGAGAATGCAGACACCAGGCTGGCCTTGAATTCACAGTGATCTGCTCCCCAAATGCTGGGATTAAAGGCATGAGCCACCACCGCCCTTCTTAGGTTATTCTCCTGGGACATAATCAAGGGCTTTAACATAAATTATATGTTGGTAAATGGGATGTCTGCTGTTCACCTATCAGTAAGTTAAAGGTAGACTTGATGTGCTGCAGCTGTTGAAGATGATGGTGAGATCAGTACCCGTTGTATCTGTGATTCAAGGTAGACCTAATTTGAATCCCGTTCGTCTTGACCCCATGTCTTCTCTGATTTAGAATGTCTCTGTGACCAATAACACAGTACCACAGAATGCAAAGTTGAAAAGAACAGTGCTTATCTTAACTTATATTTCAGGTGTAAGGGAAACGTCTTAGAGCATCATATGGCAAGAGACAGAGTAGGTGCATTGTTTCTAACGCTTCGGGTCTATTTCCTTCTCCTTTCAAAACCATCAGGATTCAATTGTGTGGGCTCTATCTTTATCCGATTCTAATCACTTCACAAAGACCCGCCTCTAAATACCATAGTAAAAGTTTCCGCCTTTTTAATAACAGACAGTGGCAATCAAATCTCATATATGAAGCTCTAGGAGGCACAAGCTATATTTCATATACATCCACAGCACCATCCTTTCAACACTGTTCAGTTGTGGGACTATTCTAATTCGCTGTATATAATCGTTTTGTGCCCGACTCACCTTCATTTTCATAAAGAATCCATTTGACTTTTGACTCTGCAGCATAATCCCATGTAGTTTTCCTGGTACCGAACTGTTAACTTGAATGATTATCTTAGTGAAAAAAAAATGTGCAATCCAGGCACTTAGAGGTATATTTTAATGATCTGTGAGGTTTACAAAAGTAAATGACATTGGGAAGGTAGGATGCTAGAGCAATATTCATGTGACCATGCAAAATAAATTTCACATCCATTTAGAGTGCTGTGCTGACTTCATGTTTATGTAGGGTGCATATACTTCTATAAGTACGTGTGTACTGGTGTGTTATGCACATCTGTCTATGGAGAACAAAGGTTAATGTTGGCATCTTCTTCAGTTACCCTCAGCCTGAATTTTTAGGACAGGTTCTCACTGAATCTGTATTTCATCAGTAGGCAAGACTGACTATCCAGGGAGCCTCAGTGTTCACTGGGGTGTCATTGCACCCAGCCTTACTACGGGTGCCAGGGATCCATACTCAGGTGTGCAAATGCTTGTGCGGCGAAGAGTTTACCAACAGAGCCGTCTCCTCAATCCCTATGACTGACTTTGAAGCATGGGGAGCATGGGGAAAATACCAGACAGTCTTATCTGTCTGGTAAAGATTTCTTTAATATGGCTTTAGGGGAAAATGCTGTTTTGGAAAATCTGTGTTTTGAGTAGTTCACAAGGTAACATCCCTAAAAGAATAATTACAGAATTCCTTCAACCCATAATTTTTTTTTCAAAAATTTCCCCCAGATACCAGGCAATTTAATATGATTTAAAAGAATAATGTATGTTCATACAAGAATCATGAGTGGTTCCACGACCTTTTGTTTCTTTAGTTCTTGTAATTGCATCTCTTCATTCCTAAAGAATGATGCTGAATGCACTGACCCTCCACTGCCATGGCTAATTTGTCTTCTACTGTGAGCCCTTCCTCAAGGTTCATTAGCTCAGTAAAAGTGGGTGGTAGCATTCCTATGCACGGGACATCTTGCCCATATATCTACAGTGATGAGTTCTGTAGCGCCCACTGGAGACAGAGGAGTTGATGTCTCATAAGTGAGGAACAATTTGGAGGAAGCATTCAGAAAGGGATTTGAGGTGTATTTTTGTTTTCAAAACTCAGGAAGTATAAAGGACAAAATGAACCGATTGGCATTTTCGTGTAAACATTTCAAAGCAGCATGTTGACATCTTCTTACGGATAAATGATGCTAAATGGCAACCTGAACTAAGCCATTTGACTGCAATTGAGAACTGAACTGATTTGGCAATTTTGAATACTTCTTATCTCGCCATAGGCAGAGAGAGAAAGGGAAATGCACTGATCATTTCGGGTATTGTAACCAGAAAGGGTGGCACAAAAGAGGCCATTTCAAAGCACACATAAAATTCAAGTTGGAATCTGCTGTAGATCCTTAGTGCACAGTGTATCCTCCTCATATTAAAATACATCTCTAAGCAATCTATCATCCACAGTGCTTCCCCGCTGTGTAGACGATCCATGTACTTACATCTAAATAACCACCGATATATTCCTTCAGAATAGCTATATCAATTTAGATCCGTGCCTCACCTTAAATTTCCTGCTTGTTTGACTCTCTCTCACTTGACCTATGACCTTGATGTTTACACTCAGCTCTGCCAAAGTCACATGACTTACACAGAATCCTTGGATAAAATTGGAAAGAAGAGCAGGAAAGATGCTGTTTCTGCTCTTCTTCAGAATGCATGGCTGATGGTGATGATAAATCATAAATTGAAGCATAATTTGACATCTGTGGTCACAGTTGCGTGGATACGTGGTCAAACCTCTTAGGATAGACCCCCAATCAGAAGAAATATTACACAGTCCATCCTTCCATGCATGGTGAAAACAAAGACCCCCCCCGGCTCCACAAGCCAGCAATGAGGTATCGATAATGGAAAGACAGTCGGTACAATTAAAAGATTTCAGCATGACGTCATGTCATTGCTGAAGTATCAACCAACAATACAATCCATTGCCATACAAACACCGGAGATCTATAAGTGAACCAAACTTATTGCCATGCATATCTTGAATTGGTATAATGTTGCCTTTTCTATCAACTTTGTAAAGAACTGGTTTAAGTAAATATGACCCTGTACAAGCTACGAAAAATGATTTTGACCCGCTAATGCACTAGGGTCTTTGTTCTCTGGACTTGCCTACTTTGGGTAAATGATTTATATTTTATGCTTCATTGTCCTGCTTTGGCCCTGGTTCAATTCCAATTTAAGAAAATGCTTGAAGTGCTGTCTGCTAGCAGCATGCGAACACTCCAAGAATGTGATGCTTTCCAGAATAATCTATGCTTATTATGTAAGTGCAGTCAGAGACAATTCCTTTCAGAACAGAACAAAAGAGATTGGATTCTCTGTAGCTTAAATTGCTTCAAGAGTTCTCAGTGGTGGAATTGTTCATGTCTTTTGTGCAAAGAAGGGAGACCGGATTGTGCATTTTTATTAGTCACCCAAGAAGCCTTCGGGTTTCAGGTTATTCGAAAACATGCAAATACCAGGGATCGTCTTTAAGAACCTCAAAAATGTCTTACCTGATTGGGAAGTTAGTCATTTAACATTTTTACTAAAACAATATAATGCTTAAAAAGCTAACAAATTACCCTTAGAAGTAACAGGATACATCACTTTAAAACTGGAGTAGCCCAAGGGTTTGTGACACCTTCCTTTGTTCTACTTAATTCTGCCTTGCTGTCTGAGAGTCCAGTGTTTTGTAAATATCTTCATTGAATTCTAATAATGCATGTTGGTGTTAATTCTCTGCTCAGTGAAGAAATATTATTTCAGACATTAGCGGTTTTATGATCTGAGAATCAGCCTACCTTCCACAATGGTCTCTTCATCAGTCGGTATTATTCTCTTGTGAACATTCCCTTCCTCATCAGTCAGATTATTCTGGTGTGAACACTCCCTTCCTCACCAGTCAGTATTATTCTGGTGTGAATACTGCCTTCCTCATCCCCCTTTAAAACCTGATTCACTCTTCAGCATAATATACTACCTTGTTCTAGAAGGCACGGTGAGGTCAACTTTGGGAAATGTTCTTACAATCCTCATGTTCTGGGATTGTTTACCCCTTCTTGTTTTAGAAGTTGCCTCAGCCATGGTCACAGACATCCCCTGAGGCAACTTTTCCATTTACTTTGTCCATGTAAGGGGAACAAATTGAAAGTTTTGCTACTGAGAGATTAAAATAAATACATTGAGAGGAACATTCTCAAAGCTCCTGAACAGAGCACTGCCTTCTCCCTTGGGTCCGTTGGCATCCCTACCCTACATGCAGTAAGGCTGCCAAGTCCAGTGTTTAGAAACATGCCAGAGTTTAAAAACAAGGTTAAAAAACAGCCAGAAAAGAGCTTCTTTGCTTGTATACATTGAAAACTAAAAGGTAAAATATGATAAAATGACTTTTTAAAAGTGCATCACTATGAAAAATGACCCACATATGTAAGGCAATGACTTCAAGATACCAGCATATGTTTTTGAAATACTGGAAAATGATACGTAACCATGAATTCTTTGTAGGGTTAAAGAAAAATAAATCATACAGGTATTTGTTTAAGAGAAAAAAACTTCCTTTATGTGCTGAGTTTGGATCATAAGGCCTCACACAGTTTAGGCATAAAAATTAAACATCTTAAAATGAAATTTTCGGCTGTGTATACAATTCACTAGGTAGAACACGTGCTAAGTTTGAATGAGGCTGGGTTTAGTCTACAGCAAAGAAAGAAATAAAATCAGAAAGGAAGGAAGGTCTCTATTTTCAACCATTAGTGATCACCATTAAATAAAATTAGTTTATTATCATAAGACAAAAAGATTAATGATAATGTGGTATTAACTTGTAAGTCAGCAGTTCCCCTGTGGGTCGCAACCCCTTTGGGGGTTCAATGATTCCTTCCCAGGGGTCATCTAAGACCATCAGAAAACAGACATTTAGGTTACGATTTGTAAAGGCAGCAAAATTAGTTATGAAGTATGAAGTAGCAATGGAAATAATTTTTATGGTTGAGGGGCACCACAACCTGAGGAGCTGTATCAAAGAGTCACAGCATTAGAAAGGCTGAGAACCACTGTCTTAGGTCTCAGGTACACCAAAACCAAAACTAGTTTCACAGCCTTTAGTTCCATGATTTAGTATGCAAATTCTGCATCACCTTTTTTTTTTTCTCTTCCTTATAGGAAAACTGAAGACTTTAATAACAAACCCTTCCAGGTGAAAATGAATACAGGTATGCTTCTTGTTCTTTAGCTTTGCTCTTCAAGCCATTTTGGTCCTGCATTAGCACAGCGCTATTTTAATTGTAAATGAGTTTCTGGGTATATTGAAAGTTACTTTGCTTTATCAGTGTGTTCCAATCTCACAGCCCAAAGCTCAATTTTTGTTACCTGCCATTACTGATCTTCTATTGTATATTTGCTTTGCATATTTGTGTGTGCAGGTAGCAGTTAGCAGGTACACATGTATACAGCGGTGTGTGTGTGTGTGTGTGTGTGTGTGTGTGTGTGTGTGTGTAGACTGCAGGTTAACCTTCAGTATCATTCCTTGTTTAGTAATCCTCTTTGACTTTGAGGCAGGGTCTCTCATTTGACCTGGAACTCTGTCCTGTGAGCCCCAGGTATGCCCCTGTCTCTGCACCTCTAGTAATTACTGGAACTGTCAGGCTCCTGCCACTGTGGCCAGCTTTTTAAATGTAAATTCTGAAGACCAGACTGAAACTTTCAGACTTGTATGGCAAACACTTCATCAACTGAGCGCTTACCTCAGCCCTTTCTGGTTCCTGGTTTTTTGTTTGGTTGGTTGGTTTGGTTTTTTTGTTTCAATTAGCTCTTAAAGCAGCTTGAAATTGTATTTATGCATTTAAGATCTCTTACTTAAAGTATGTTAGGCCCAAAGGCAAGTTGCTCTGGTGAACAATATTTAAACTTTCCATTTTATAAACTGTCTATGTTGACAAAGTCAACAGATAGCATTCTAAAACCTCATACAAACTGAGCCTGATTAATTCTTTATTATCACAATACTCAGAAAGCCATAAGCATGTCATTTTTAGACTTGCACACAGTATCCTTAAATATTTTAACACAAATACCCCTGAACCCTGTATGCTATGCATTTGAACGGTAAAATGGTTTGTGAATGTCAGGTAACTATACAAACCGTCACTTTGGTCCCACAGTAGACCTGTTTGGCTGGTAACTTCATCCTCATTGTCAACAGTCTCATACGCAGCATGCTCGCACGCAGTCAGTAAAGAAGACAAGTTTCCCACTGAAACCCTGTGGCTGTGTCGCAGCTTATGGCTGGAGAGCTGTTTTAGCCAGCTGCCCACTAGCAGAGCAGAAAGGAAGCCCAGGCTCTTCTTCCTCGTCAAGTTCCTTGTGACAAAGTGTCTAGAAGAAGGATTAGCAACTGGCTGGCTAGAGCCAGTATTTAATCCCTGGATCAAGTGCGGAGACTGGGCCAGGTCCACTCCCTATGGCATCCTCTGAGCTGAAACCTGCTCAAACTGACCTCAGCGAACACTGCCCATTGTAGCCCACATGTAGATAGATGTTTAGGCCAGTGAACAAGACAGGGTGTTTGGAGAAAGAGCTGATGAACTCTCGGAGAGCCAAGTAGAGGCATTTTGACAGGTGGAGATGGACTGGCCTTCTTCAGTCTTCTCTGCCTAGTGATGGCTATTATTTCATATTGCACATGCAATGTAAAATAGACTGTGATGAGCCCTGTCTTTCAGCCACTGATCACTCCAGCAGAGAGGTCGCATTAAGGGGCTGGGTTTACTCACTATTTCAGAGGTATCTCCTCTGAAGATATAAGTTCTGCACGGCTTCCCAAAACAGGATTTTCCCATTATGAGAGATATGCATATATGATTATAATAAACATACTGTACTTATATATAATCTATTCAACAGTTGGTCTTCCCATTCCCATATATTGGATCCTAATAACAAAGTAGGCACAGAGAAACTGGAAGATTATTTAACTCTCTGGTATCTGAACCAAGTTGCTGCTGAGCAGCCCAAATAGAAACCTGTATAACAACTTTTCATTTATACAGAGTGATCTTGACTCTAGATGGTGCATAAAATTGGGTTGCCTGTGTGGATAAATTTATCTATGGAAACATGCAAATTTACATATAAGTTGAAACCCTTTACTTAAAATTCTAAAGAAGTTACGATGTTGCAATGAAAGCATGCTACTTTTTAAAAAAGTATAGACGACAAATATTTTGATAGATGAGTATGGATTGCTTTCAGGTGCAAATTACTTTTGGAAACAAATTATTGCCACTGTATTCACAAAATCAAGGAATAATTGATTCCTGAGTAACTAATAAATAAAATTGACTCACCTTACCTATCCATTAAATCATCAACATAACAAGCAATCCAAGGAGAATAAGTTTCATTGTAGAATGTCTAAACTATGACCTATTTCTACTCAGAGCAATTGGGACCTATTACTTTCTAATGCATGAGAATTCACTATCCTTAAAAGGGGAAAGATAATTCATAGACTATGGTTTATCCATCTAAGCATTATTATCTAGAAGTGGAAACAGCAATTGGGTATCTCCGGTTCAGTGGAAGAGTACCCAACCAGGTTGGGGTTCGTGGGTGACTGTAAGACCAGCACTTGGTTGCTTTGGGATGAGCTATGTGTCAGAGACAGCATCCTCATATTGAGTCCTTAAAAACTTCTTCAAGATAAACATATAAGTAGAAACAGAATATTAATTTCTAGTGGTTTGTCTGTTCTACAATTTCAAAACCTCAGCATTTAAAAAATAAGACCTTTACTAAGTGTTAGCAAAGAGTCTCCATTTACTGAGCCTAAAGATTTCTGTACTTTTTTTTGTATCATAATGACAGTGTCTGAGTAGTTTTTTTGTTTGTTTGTTTTCATGTTGCTTCTAAGCCTAAATGAAGTATCTAATAGTTCTATTTATTAAGCAGTTCAGTGCAAACAATATAATAAGCATTTATGTCCTACCAATTTAAAAGTCACTTGTCAAAATAATACATGTGAATTGAAAAAGAAATAGTAATTTACTTTCAGTGTACCCACAATTACTTAGTGGTACGTGTGTGCCTGTCACGCACTGAGACTTCAGACCAGGAAATGAAATTGGATATAACTACTCTTGCTCACCGATCCAAAATGACTTTCCTAGGGCACTTGCTCTTTAAGAAAGCAACCCTCCACAGTCTAGCTCTTAGAAATACAATGTGGTCAAAATATAATACAGTCTCTCACACTGAAACTCTGAACTACTTCAATCTAATGTTTCCTAAAGTACCCCGCTGTATGCACAAAATTCTCTAGCATCCCCCCGACAGCGTTGTGGATTCATGGAGATGGTGCAGGGCATCTCAGCACACCGTGTGAACATACTGTGCTTGAACCATGTTCCTCGCTCTGCTTGTTCTGAGATGTTATCTTTTCAGACACTGAGAGTTGGGAGGACCAGGAAAATAAAATCCTGCTAAAAGTGATGTCACTTTTCACTTTCAGTGCCCTTGACTACCCAGCCATTTTAGACCTAGTGACTAGACAGATCTTGTGTCCAGTGTGATGCCCAATCAGACACGTTGTCTTTAGCAAATTGAAAATGGCTATTGGTGTTCTATTGAAGGTATCTTCAGCTCTAACTTTCTACCGTTTGTGTCTTTTCTACTGGTTCCTAGCTATAGTTTCTTAAATGATTCTCTCAGCTTATTTGCATTTTCTGTTTCAACTCAGGTTTTCTGTTTAATGATTTTTTTCTTTAAAAAAATTATAATTTTAAGTCAGGTTTTATATTAGGAAAGTTACACCACTTTTGTGGTCTAGTGACCTCACTCTCTTATGATTTTTACCGGTAATTAACACATAATGCTAAATCTCTATTCTCTCATGTTTAATTAATAGGCTGAGTATTTTGCCTATGAAGTAAAGAATTAAGAAAGCATATGACAAGATACAACAATTATACTCTCACAGTTATATCTCATATTGTTGGTTATCTGACTTGTCTCTGTGTATGGTCACCTTCAAAAAGGAGAGCTGAGGCTGCTTTGACGAGCAGGGGAAGATGGAGAGCTATTTATTGTCCATGCTATATTACCAAGGAATGTGGGCGCAGAATCAGACTTCTGTTCAGAAATAGAGAGCTAACCTTTCGGTCCTGGAGGCTTGTCTTCCAAATTTAGAAGTCTCTCAGCTTCTCACAACACGGAAAATGACTGACGCATGTGTCCATATTTCGCCTCACATTTTGATTTTCTCCATATAGATAGAGATTATGCCACAACCATTATTCCAAAGTATAAGAGTGATCCATCCATTAAAAAAAAAGTCTCATTTCACTGTGTACATCAGTGCTGTCCTTAACTTCAAACAGAATAACTATTTCAGAACTGTGAGAAGACATGAAATTGCATAATGCTGTGTGTTTCCTTATGATGTGTGTATATGAAGCACGTAATGCCTATGTCAGCTGAAAAATACTTCAAGAATTACTGAATCAAGGTAATTCATCCCTGATTATCTTTAGTAATCATAAGTAGAATAGATTAAGTCTAATCTAAATTATTTACATATATAATCATGACACTGTAGGCTGAAATACAGATAATCCCTAACTGTAAAAGCTTGCTGTACTGTTTCTAAACCTAGTGTGCACTAAATACTAATTTTGCAAAGAAGACTCAGCTCTGTATCGGGGATATCATTAAGTAAAAAGTGTTGAAAATTAAACGTAAGACCTTTTGTTTTGTTTAAAGCATTGCTGTCTATCTCTGAGCAGACCCTTGGTGTTTCACTTCTGTGCCACATCATCTCTCTTAGTCTAGGAGGGAAATTTGCAGGTGTATTCCACGATTACTAATGCTCAACTGTTCCCCTTTCTCACGAGTGTCTGACACGTCTCACTTTTGAAATGCATGACATTGCATGTGCTTCCTCTGTGGCCTCTGCTATATCATGTTTTTTGCTTCCAGATAGCGGTGGGTGTGCTCGCAAACGTGCTGCCATGTCTGTCACGTTAACATCTGTGAAGAGAGTTCAAAGCTCGCCAAACCTGTTGGCTGCAGGTATAACACCACTAACTCACCGCGTCATGCCCGAATGGCTCCACCTCACCTCTCTCTTTCCAGAGTCGTCTTGGTGGGGTGGGAACAGACAGTTGAAATGCCTTTCAAATCCCTCACTCAATCTTATTTTTTTTCTAATTTCAAGAATAGCTTCTATCCTTTCTGGTTTTGTTCTAAAAATAAAAAAGTCAAAGGAAACCGATACCTTGCTAAAAACAAACATTTAAAAATATAATTAAAAGCATCAGTCACTTGCCAAAAATATGTTAACTGCAAGAGTTAATAACTATTTACGTTCTTGTTATCTCATGAACTAAAGCAACATGATACTCGGAAAATTCAGGGTTAGGGAAAAAAAAAGACTTGGTCAACATAGATCTTGATTAATGTGGTTCTTCTCAAAAATTGAAAGCAGAAAACAGACCTTCTTACATCTAATATGAGCTTTAGCATATATCAAAACCTTGATCAGTTGAGATCAGTATGAACCCACAGGTAAAAATACACTCCCGAAAGCAGTTGAGGGTGTGACATGCCAGCATCCACTAAGGTAGCTCCTTTGTCACTAAATGTCTGTTGTGAGTTACCTTCACCTGTGACAGACTTCATCTGGAGAGTCTGCAGGGGGAGTGTGTAACACGGAAGATGAACCGTGTCCAGCCTGTCCCTAGACCTTTAAAGGAGTAGTACACACCTCCTGTTAACTGACTAATTAATGAGTTTCCTTGGGTTGCTTTATAAGATTAATTAGTTATACTGCAGGAGGAGGAAAGTGAAGGAGTCACTAAATAATTTTACACCTCAGTCTGTGTTTTAGTCTTCTGTACACATGTTTAGTGATCAGTTGGTACTGAGGATGTTCTACCCAGTGTTATGAAAGAAAAACAGACTTTTGAAGGTGACTTCCACCTTCTCACAAATGGACATCAAGGTCCAAATTTAAATGTCAAGTCAGGAGTCTCATGTTAACCTTTTTCCAATAAAACCATTGCAATGTATGGAATCTGACCTCATTTGGGTATGACTCTGGATATGTTTGTCCATGCATGTATGACTATAAGGAGATATTATAAAAACTATAGATGTTTTTACAGTAGGTGCATGAGATATGAGAACAGTGAAAAGTAAAATAAATAAAAAGCAGGCATATCGTATTATTGGAATGCCTGAACCATGAATTTCATGGGCATTGCAACCAAGTAAAACCTCAGATGTGACCACTGATGTACGTGCTAGAGAACAACTCTCTATGTTAACAATTTGTATTTGTTATTACTTATAAAAATAACCCACAAAGGATAGCATTGGGTTGAACTGGAGACTGCATTCGAGAGTCAAATTGTGTTATAAGCAATTTCATACCATTCAAGTTGTTGGGAAAAGGCTAAGTGCTTCACAGTCAGAATAGAAAAATAAGTTCCAGTCCTGATGGCCCAGACCTATGACTCCAGCTACTTAGAGTTCAAGGCTGCCTGGGCTATCCAGCAAGCTTAAGGCACATCTGGGTATAATGTCTCAAAATTTAAGGTCATTAAAATGAGAGCAAGAGAAGGGGATAGCTCAGTGGTGAAAAGCTTGCCCAGCATGCACCAATCCTTTGATTCAATTTCATGTACCCAAGGGCAAGAAAAAGGAAGGTTGATTAAATAAAGTAATATGAGCAAAAAGAAGCTCTTGCCTGTTTTATGTCATTAGAAATAAGTTTTTTTAACAGTCCCTTGAATTTTGGATTAAAATTTAAAAGAATTCTTTGAACATACTGATGTATAAAATCTTCAAAGACATTTAATGATGTTTTAAAGAATCAGGATCCTTTGTACCCAGGCTTGCTGTATAGCAGCCTTCACAAGAACATACGTGGAAAAAAAAATGTATGTTTCACCATCACTAGAGAATTAATTACTCTTTGGGATCTGTGCTAAAACCATCAACTCAAGCTTTATTAAAACATGCCCTCATCTTGGTGTTTCATCCATGGGCCTGTCAGTACACTTCACCATTGTCAGATCCCATGGGTGAATCAGGATGAACTGCCCTCTATTTCTCCCACTTAACGTTTCTTAGGGTTCTGTAACCCCACAATGTGGTCACTATTGTGAGGAAACAGATCTGGCCATCTAAAAAATGTCAACCAGAGGATTTGTATCCCAAGTGTCCTTCAAATTAGCTCACTATACCTCTCTCCCCTACCTCATCTACATCCCTGGCACCTCCTCAGACAGGGCTCCTATTGCTTCACCGCCCCCCACACACATATTTCATGCTTTTCTTTTCTAGCTTGGTCTTATCAAACCAAGAGTAAAACAAATGCCCCATTCTCAAGCAAACAGTTGCAATACACATATGTATTATTGAGGCTGCTCCCCTATCCATTACCCTTTCTCAAGTCCCCAAATGTGTTCTTTGTCCACAGTGGGTAGAACCATAGCGGTCAGTGTGTCTCTTTCCTTAATGTCCCCAAAGCAGAATTCTAAAGGTAGCAGGGCATCCCCAAATTACATGTGTTTGCCCTCTAGAGGAGTTGCTGTCTTTTTACTGAATGAAATGGTGAACTCCAGTCTCTGTTAAACTCTGGGCATAGAATCCAGAGAACATGTTTTGAGTAGTTTTTACTGGATTATGCTCATTTTTATTCAATTTATGATCGCATACAGTGAATGAAAATATGCTCCTCTTCTATAACTCACCTGTGATAGTCATTCCAAACAACTGAGCTGATTCACATTTATTTTTCTTCCCTTGATCTGGGGGAAAAAAGAAATCCATCTTCAATATTTTATAAACAAGACTCTACATTTCTCAACCCACTTAGCATCATTCTGAATGTATATGTATAAATTTTAAAAGGATATCCCTGGAACATTTGGGAAGAAAACAATGAGTTATTGGCTCATAACAATTAATTCATGGTACCAGGGAACATACGAAAGGAATCCAGGAGCTAGATAGCGGTGAAGTAAAGAACTCCTATAAACCTTTCCAAGATCAAGGTTTTATAGGTCCGATAGACCAAAACAGGGCAAATGGATTCCCCCAGATGGCCATATAAGAGGTTCTGAGACAACTGACCATAAGTATATGGTTAAACCAATTATTTACTATGATTTATTCTCCACAGCTTCTGAGCAAAAAGACAATGAAATACACTATAACTGCTTTCATGTTTGAGTAAACTTTGAAGGGACAATAAGAAATTTAAGTTCTAGAGAACAATTAAAGAAAGGTCTTGCACAGTAGATACATTTGCCTTTTGTAAACATTAAAAAAAATCAAGCTATTGAAATATTAGCCACTATCGACTATAGCAGTTAAATCTAGGGAGGTACAGGGGCCTTCAGCCGGTGACAGAGCTGGTGACTACCTTTAATGGTCTAAACAGAATTCAGTGTTTGTTAACCAGGTTTTTTCAATCCTTTAATTCTATGTTCAGAAGTCATGTGGCACCTTGGGCCACAATAATCTTGAAATTACGTGGTTTGCAATATTATTAAGGGTGAAAATTAGTGTTTGATATATGTTCTAGCTATAGAGTGTAGGTATATAACAAATGATAAGCCTATTGAAATTGAAAAATCACACACAAGCCTCTCATTACTACATTTAACATACTCCGTGTTAGAACTGAGATAATGTCTGCAAAAATGATGCACATGCTTGTTTGCCAAGCATTTTTACTGAAGGTTTGGTTTGGTTTACACTCGCATTAATTTCAACATTGTTTTCCTTTCAGGGCGTGATTCTCAGTCTCCAGACTCAGGTACAGAAAAAAAAAATATTGTGAATAACTATTGTGCTTGTTCCAAGGACATTTTTTTTCTTTTGATATATCCATAGCCACATCATTGATTTCATATTCAATTTAAATTTCATACATGGTTATGTATACTAAATTAAGATCTTATGAAGACCACTTTGATTTTAGAAAGACAAATCAATTTGCTCACACACCAAAGAGAAAATATTCAAGTGAACGTAGATATTTCTGTGTCCAATTTGTTTTCCCTGAACAAAAGCGTGGAGATCTTACAATGATCGAAATCCAGAGACACTGAACGGAGATGCCGCATATTCCTCTCTTGCAGCAAAAGGTTTCAGAAGCGTCCGACCAAACCTGCAAGACAAAAAATCACCAACCCAGGTAATTAAAGCTCATGGCCTGCTGTGTGTCTCGTGCCTAGACCCCTGTTCGCTCCTGCTCTTGGGGACCTCGTTCCTAGTGTCCTAGCTTTAAAATGCTTCTGCGTTTTTCATATAACTAACACGTGTGACAGGGCGTGAGTTTTCAGCTCAAAACAGGTAGGCTTTCTTCTGTTGTGGTGGTGGTTGATTTACTCTGTATTCTCTGGTTCAGCTTATCGAAGTAGGTCAGCTTCTACTGTAATGTTTAAGCTAAATTCTAATTCTTAAAGCCCTGATGGCTGGTGTCGTGGATTCTAGAGTTTGAGAGTCGGGGATACATTATCTACTGCATGAATATAAACCAGACAAATGCTGAACCTTTGAGATGTTAGTAAAAACTGTGCATGCAAAATGTCCTACAAACCATGTGGTTAAATGAACTGTCAGCCTCTAGGTCTAAAAATAGGGCAGGATAACATATGTTCACTTTTAGCATAATTTCTTAAACTGTGGGCAGAAGCAGTATCTTTGCAATGTATTCTAAACTAAAGCTTTTCCAATTTGGGAGAAACTATTGGTAATAATTCACAAAGCATTCTTGCAGGACTGAACAGAACTGTTTGGTCTAGCCTGTTCAGGGTACAGTGTGTGTTTGGGTTTCTTTGGGGCAGCTTTGACAATGTTCTTCTCGTGTCTAACTTGGACTTTCTTTCTATTTTTCCTTCAATGTCATTTCTCTTTCTGAACACTTTTGGCCATTGAGGCACCCATTCCACCAGGCAGGAAAGAGAGCTTTTGCCAGTCTTTGATAACCGATCAAACAAAGGGTGACATTTTAGATTCAATAGTAACTAACACAGAAAGCCCATGGCGTACAGAGAGCTTTCCTAACCTTAAACTTCTCCATGGAGCTATGCATTCTAGTGAAGATTCTAACCAGACAATAGTGTATTCTGAGGAATCCAACAGAACTGTGTCATACACACAAAAAATCACTAATCCACTACCAGCATCCCCCAGCTCCAGTCCTGCACCATTTGGAGACACTAACACGTTTCTACAAGAGGACTACATGCAAGATTCTCAAACCCGAAGAATTTCTACCTTGAAACTAACCCATAATCAGAACCAAGGGAATGGTTCCCCCTTTAAACCACCACAGTGTTCCCAGCCCACTGATGTCCCATCGTCTCTGAAAAGGTCTTGCTCACCAACCCGTAGCCCCGGACCGAACACACACACAGCAGCTCTCTCCATTCAGATAGCTCCCCATTCAGGACAGGATCTTGAAAGCCACCAACAGTTCCCTGAACTGCCTCCAGAAAGTGAAAAGATGCCTCTTCAGCAAGAGAGACAAACATCTACAGATGCCGAGACCTGTCTGACCCCAGCGGTACATTGCTCTTGCTAGTCTCTTCTGTGTGTGTTGCAGAGACTAACTCATTGGGTTTGAGCTTCTAACTAAAACTAATGTTTTATTAGTTTCTAAACAGGAAGGGAAAGGAGAAAGAAACTATTTCAAACCTGACTGAACTCAGTCAATTTCTGGTATCTTTTTATTTAAATACATGCACATAGAACTTTCATATAAAAAAAAGGTTCTTTCTATATTTTTCTTAAATCATTGATAGAGAAGTTGTCACTTAAGATACTGTTAACTTCATCAGACCTTACATTACTTCCAGGTACCAAAGACCTATTTTTATGTCAGAACTTTGGAAGTTATTTGAAATAAATTAACCTTACTTAAATGTACAACATCTTTTAAGATAATGCTCAATCATAATATACCTTATCTTAATTTCAAACAGTATTTTTCCCTTTGTAAATTGACATTAATTTTCTCTAAAATTCGATCAATAATTTTAGAAAGCATACTAACCAAATTTTATCACCTAGATTTTGGGGGTCATTGAAGTAAGGGGGTCGCTTGTTTGGTTCCCAGCCACCTGGCTAGCTTAGACCCAAAGTAATCACACAGAAACTGTATTAATTAAAACACTGCCCATTAGCTCTAGTTTCTTATTGGATAACTCTTACATATTAACTTAATCCATCTCCACTAATCTGTGCATCACCACGGGGTCATAGCCTACCAACAAAGTTTCAGCATATCTGTCTCTGGTGGCGGCTCCATGGCGTCTCTCTGACTCCACCTCCTTTCTCCCAGCATTCATCCTAGCTTTCTCCGCCTACCTCTATTTCCTGTGCAGGCCCAAGACAATTTCTTTATTCATTAATGGTAATCACAGAATACAAAGGAAAATCCCACATCAGTATAAGGTGTCTCTAAACATTCACCTGAAGTGGTGGAGTATGGGAAGAGTGGGTTTGAGGCTCAGGGACAAGGTCCTGGTTGGGCCTAAAAGTGATCAGCCTACAGATGCTTTTTGTAGCCAATAGACAGGGACATCAACATGGATGAAGGAAACCCAAGAATTGAGCTTGTGCAAATTTTCCATTCAAAAGAAGAACCAGTTAAGCAAACTGGCTGGCATTGGTATTTCCAAAAGGAGAGGAAAATCTAGGAAATGTGGTATACTAAAAACTAAGAGAGAAAATCATGGGAGGATAGGAAAAACAACTTCAAATACTATTGATAGGACAAGTAAGTTGAAATTTGAAAGCGTACCACAGAGTAGAAGTGAGAAGGGAGGCTATCTATACCCAAAGGTGGTATTACTGGGTCTTGATGAAGGTTGTTTCCTTATTTTCTGAGAAATCACCACACTGACATCCAAAGAGGTTGTACCAGTTTGCACTCCCACCAGCAATGCAGAAGTGTTCCCTTTTCCCCACAACCTCTCCAGCATAAGTTGTCATCAGTGTTTTTGATCTTGGCCAATCTTACAGGTGTAAGATGGAATCTCAGAGTTGTTTTGATTTGCATTTCTCTGATGACTAAGGATGTTGCGCATTTCCTTAAGTGTCTTTCAGCCATTTTAGATTCCTCTGATGAGAGTTCTCTGTTGAGGTCTGTACTTCATTTTTTTATTGAATTCTTTGTTCTTTTGTTGACACAATAATTTTTAAATGATGAATGAAAGCTTATTTTATCAGATTAGCAGTGTGTTATATTGCATTGTCTTAAAACACCTTGTAATAGGTGGCATAAATTGTTGTGACTTTTAATGTTGCCAAGAATGTATGAGATCTACCTTCTTCACAATAGTTTTGCAGTTCATGTATGTGGCAGGTATGTATGTATGTGGGCGTGTGTTGGGGGTCTTTCTGGATTATTCTCCACTTTATTTATTGAAACAGAATTTTTCACTAGACTTGGATCTTGCTAACTCAGGCTAGTCTATTTACTAGCATCGCACAGGGATTCCCTGTCTTTAATGCTTACATGGCTGGGCTTTTCTGTGGGTTCAGCAAATCCCAACTCTGGTCTTTGTGTTTCCTAGCAAGCACTTTATCAACTGAGCCATCTCCCAGGCCTTTCCCCACAATCTGTAAGTGTTCCACACACTATTGTTAACTTGAGGCATAATTTCATAATATAGGAAATTCCTGGAATTTATTTATCTTGCCTAAATAAAACTCTGAACCCCAGATAGCAGCTCATGTTCCCCTCCCCAAGTCACTACCTCTCCTATCTGCTTCTGTGTCAACTGTTTCAGATGCTTCGTGCAAGTGGAATCATTGCGTATTTGTTCTGTGACGAGGTTATTTCATTCATTATAATGTCCTCTGGGTTACCTATGCCGTTATATCATGTCCTCTGGGTTTTCCATGTCAAAATGCATGGTAAAATTGCCTTCTATTTTAAGATGAAGGATAGTCCATAATAATATGTATCACATTTCTTTATCTATTCTTCCATCAATAGACACTTAATTTTCATGTCTTTCCTATCATGGCAAACTTCACTTTCTGTTTATTGGTCTTTCCCAGTGGTTTTTACATTCCACATTTTGGCAGGAGGACATAGTAAATGTCAAGGCCTGTAAACAACACTCTATGAATCAACTACACACACACACACACACACACACACACACACACACACACATACACACTTTTAATTTCTTGGAAAACCAATTCTTTATAAGACCCAAGCCAAAAAACAAAAATACTCTAAGAAATGAAAGGTAAATCTTAGTATTTTAGAAGTCTCATTTACATATATGTTAAACTCTGTCAACTAGTGTAAAAGAAGATTGCAGGCTCCTGCTAGGGCGATTCCCCATACCTGACAAGTTAGACATATGGTTTTATAAAGGACATGTTTTAAATAATCACTCCGACAGTTTATATATGGAAAGACCACAAACGAGGCATGTTGCCCTTCTGTGTAAACAAATATTCGGCTACTAAATATATCACTGTTCTTCGTGTCAGATGAATATAAATGTAAGCCAGATGCATAGTAAGGACAGCAAACGGCCACACTCAGTCTTTCCACGGTATTTGTAAGAGCTGTGCCCTTTGCTTCTGAAGGGTAAACTTGGCCCTGTCATTGTGGGGTAACATAATCAATCATCAGTCAGAACAGAACTTCTACTACACAGATGTTGAGAATTCGAAGGTAAATCTCTGTCAGTGCCATGTAAAAGATATAGAAATTTTCTTTCTCCATAAGATCGATATGTAGGAATTAAGGAAGACAGAGTCTAACAGCTGTTTTATGACAACTTGACACAAGCTCCAGTCATTTTGGAAGAGGAAACCTCAGTGGAGAAAATGCCCCCACCAGAATGACTTGTGGGCAAGCCTGTGGTGCAGTTTCTTGACTGAAGATTGATGGGGGAGTTCCTAGCTCCCTGTGGGTGGTACCATCCCTGGGATGCTGTAAAAAAGCAAACTTAGGAAAGCAAAGAGAGCAGCAGCAAGCCAGTAAATGACACCTTCCCTGGTGTCCGCATCATCTCCTGCATCCAGATTCCTGTCTGGAATTCCTGTCCTGACTTCTCTGGATGGTAGAGTACAAGCTAAGATAAAATAAACCTTTTCTCCCCAAGTTGCTTTTGGTTGTGGTGTTTCATCAGAGCGATGGAAGCCCTAACTAGGACACAGTGTAGTGCATAAATGTCAGCCACATTAGATGACAGGACACAAAACTCCAGAGCACACTTTCTGCACCATCCCCACCTCGGCCAACCCAGATCATTAGTGTCTTCCCTTGTATGGCCAGTCAATAGCCTGTAATGTCTTTGTGTGTTTGTTATATTCAGAGTTGAACACGTTTTTGTCAAATTTCCAGTTGAGAGCGGGTGTGTGTGTGTGTACTAAAATAATTGCATATTACAGCATGGAAGGAGAACAATATGAATACTCCATTAGTTTATAAGGCAGCAATCTAGGGTTTAAGGAATCCTGAGATCTAATTATTAGAAGCATTTCCTAGATGGAGTCACAATCTGCCTTCTTTAAATTCTACATGTTTGTCCTGGGGGCAAAAGAGGTGACCTTTTTCCTACCTCTGTCTGACAACTTTCGCATAATTATCTGCTCCCCTCCCCCATTCCGGGCTCGTCTTTGCCTTTTTACTGTGCCTTCTAAGCACCTACCATTTTCAGATCAATGCCTTTGAACAACTATGACAGCCCACCAGGCTCCGTGATGTCTATCCCATCCTTAAAATCTTACTCTTCGCTGCAGGAGATGAGTTGTGTTAATCTTTGTAATTTTACATCAAAGGAAACTGAGGCCAACTAGCTTGAGCAAGTCCCTATAGATCCACCGTTGGCAGATTCTCCTTCCCTTGTTTTTCCTTTTGTATTACGCTCACCCTCCTTCTTCGGCAGTGTTCTTAGGCTGTGACAGCTTCTCAGATGGGAATTATACCACAGTCCCTGGTATTTAACACCCGCCAGATCTCAGATGGGAATTATACCACAGTCCCTGGTATTTAACACCCGCCAGATCTGCACATTCTGAATGCCTATCCGCTGCAGATAGGCATTTGGGTTTATAGAGCTTCCACCCATCACAGCTTTTCCCACTCCGAGTCACCTTTCATCCAGCCTCCTGGTTAAGTCTCTACAGAGCTGCAACCTTGATGTTCTCACCCTTGACATCCTTGAGTCCTCCTAGTGCTCTGGATTGGCTTCACCGGAACTAAGAGGCTCAATCTTACTTTGAATAACTTCAGGTATTCTTAAGTATGTTAAGGCTTAAGAACACCCTTCCTTAATGAAGAGCAGGCAGCTGTAAGGTGGTGTCTCTAGTTCCTCCATTGGTGGTTAGGGAACATAAATAGCAACTTAGACTCTTAAAAACTTCAGTGACTATCAAGCAGTATTTGGACGCATTCACTCTACATGGTTCTGGACACAAGAAGACACAAAGCAATTTGACCGATCTTTCTGAAGTTGTCTGCCTGTCACTTAATACGGTAGATAGTGGAAAAACATTTCTCGTTTGAAACTGTTTTCTCCTACTACAAGC